TCTTTAAATTGGTAAACATCTGTCTTACAACTATAAAATGTTGAAAGGTGGTAACAAAAGGCATGTAGAAGATCTGTTGTGCATAATAGGTGTAACTGGTAGATGTACATTTTTGATGTGGAAAATATTTCTGGGGCTCAGAGTGTCAGCTGGTATATTGAGTACCTGCATTTTAAGTTGCTCTGCTGAGGTTAGAAGCATAGATAATGTATTTCAGTTGCAAAATGAAGTGTATAGGGATTCTATTCTAGCATGTTTGGTTTTTTTTTTTGTTTGGGTTTTTTCTTTTTTTTTTTTTTTTTTCTAAAAGACATTTGTAACCACACAAATTCAGGAGTTGGCTGCACTTTTGATTTGTAGTGGGGGAGGAGAGGGGAAGTGGGAATTGGTATAATATTCACTTCCTTAGGGTAGCTTTACCTTTACTGCTTCTAATTCAAGATGACCTTCATATATGCGTCCTCTGCAAAACCTGTGTGTCGGGCAGGACAGAGCTCTGGAGGTGAAGAAGTTTGTGGGTGGTCGTGTAGCTGGGTGGGGGGAGGCTCGTGTCTGACTTGGAGGTTATTTGTCCTTTACGTGTCTATTGAACTTCAGTCTCTGCATGACCACCCGTAACCTCTTCTGTCTGAGTGTCTTGTGCAAGTTGTAGGGGAAAAGGGAATGTGCCCAGGTGGGTTTGGGCGAGTGCCCCGGAGGAGGAGATCTGGGGAAGTAAGGAGGCCTCGCAGCAGCTATAATGAGCAGTCCCAGTGTGGTTTGGCACGTGATGAAACTAGATGGTGTGTGCAGGAATTTTGGATATAATGTCAAGGGTTTAAACTGTAATTCAGGGAATATAAATACGCAAGGTAGGTGCGTGTGTCACTGAGCAGCGCTGGGAGGGATCGAAGGTTGAGGTAATGTAGCTGGGTGGGTGGAGGGCTCGGTGGCCTGAGAGGGGTGGCTGTGGCAGGGACTCATGTCTGTGAGGAGACCTGCTGGTGGGAGGGCATGGAGAGAAGCTGGAATGAGCATTTAGATGGGTGGGTAAAGAGGAGGCTATTGTCACCTCCTGTGTCCACGACTTAGACCTCCCCTGATCTACTCATGAACCTCCCTGGAAGCACAGGTGCCCGGTTTCTCCCCCTGAAACTCTTGTCACAAAGATTTCGGAGAGCAGAAACTTCCTGTGTTCATTTTGGGCTTGTTTTCTGAGGTGTTGCACAAAATTGTGTGCTTGGAAACCCAGTTCTCCTTTCAAGGTCTGGTTGAAAAATTGGGTTTTAAAAGCAGATGGTCTTGAATAAGTCAGCACGCTGAGGGATTGTTTTCAGGGGTGTTGTGACCCGATAGCTGCCGTGGGGTATAGTGTGACTGGGCCTCTTCCTCGTGCCTCTTCTAACAGCCCGTTGTTGCCTCAACTTTATTCCCACTCTTCCCTCTGCTCTGTGTTTAAAAAGCAGTAAGAGTTTGAACGTTGGTATCGCTGACGTGGAATTGTGGGTGAAGCCACCTGAGTAGGCCTGGTGACTTTTCCTCCCTTGGTGGCCTCACGTGCACTCTGCAGGAAGCAAGGGAAGACGGGCCAGTTATGGTTACCTTGTTTTTACCTGCTTGCTAGAGCCTTTCATCTTTCCTCTGTTAATTAATGCTAACTGCTCTGGCAGCGCTCTAGTTTTAAAGTGAAAATCAAGAACGTGCTTGTGGATTTTAAGTATTAATTTAAGTGAACGCCATGTTGGCCTTCCGGAAGAAGCTCCTTTTGGATCTTCCCGAGTGAAGTCCAGCACGAGGTGTTGTGCTGCGGCTGTTGAAGGCAGGGCTGGAGCTTGTACCGCAGCAGACACACTGTGGTGGTGCAGCTGGGGTGGTAATCCCCTTACTGTGACAGTTGTCTACCAGCAGGACTTCTGCAGGAGGAGAAGCCTCTTAGTCACATGCTTGTCAACTCAAGTGCTGGGAGTTGCAGGCCCTTGGCAGAGAAACGTGGAAAAAAGGGACCCGTGGGGGCTCACATCAATCTGCTAATACTGATGGGTGATAGCAGTTTGGGTAGAACTCGCCAGCATGGCTTGAGTCCCAGAGGCAGACAAAAGATGCAGGATAATTCTTGGAATTACTGTCAAAATTCACAGAACACTCTGAAGGTTCCTCAGCCTACGACCATGCGAATGACCTTCCCTTTTCTTTATTCCTCTTTCCGGTGGTCACCTCAGAGATGCCTTACCACCCTCTCCTCTCCAATTCCCTGTTAGGAAGAAATTACTGATAAGCGTAATACGGCTTTAATGACAACCAAAACTTAACAGAGCCGGGGGGGTGGACACAGACGGACGACATGCTTACAAATGTTCCTTTTTTTTTTTTTTTTTCCCAAGGGTTGTTTGTAAGAGTAGAGGTCTAGTTTGGTGTTAGGAAAATCAGTGCCGTCTAGCACACAGATAGTTTATAAGGACTGAAATAAAAAAAAAAAATACACCAAATAACTTTTGGAGGTCATCTTTAAGCTACTAGAACAAAGCCTTATTCTTAAGGGAGGCTTTCCAGGCTTCCCAAGTGTTTTAAATGCTGTCCACCCAACTAAAAGTGAAGCCAAGGAGGGTTGCAGTAGCTTAGTAGGAGGATTTTCTTTTTAAAGTGAGCTTGCTAACCTGGAGGAAAAGGCAGTATGAGAGTTTTGCTTCTGTTTTCTACTTCTGTTAATTTAACTGGAGTTGATGACCTACGAGTTTGCTCTAAAATACTTTTCAGCCGAGGTAGACTCCTAAGTGGCTGCAGCGTAGTGCAAATATGTTCGTAAAGAATCATTGCATTCAGCACCAAGTGCAGGTTTTTCTGCTTTTTTTGCAGTATGGGTATTTCTTAAGCTGCTCTCGATATCTTGCGATGCTGTGGTGGTAAATGCGGTGGAGAGCACTGATCCAGAGTCTTCCTTTGGAAGACAGACCAGCGTGTTTCTGCAGAACTGAGAGCGCCCGTTAGGAGCAGTCGTTCCAAGTGTACGTGTCTCTGTAGTGAAGGTCTCGGTGAGAGGCTGGGGTGGGGGAAGTCCTTTATTCAGACAGTCTTCCTCCCTCCTCTCCCAAGGGCGTCTTAGCTACAAGTGGAAAGTTCCCTGCCAGTTCCTTTTTAAACTTTTTTTTTTTTTCCTTCTCCCCTTGCATAGTCATGCTCATTCTTTCTGGACTCAAATGGTGACTAAAAGCCACTTTCAATGACTGTGCAGTAAATTTTTAGGCATGCGGTATGCTTTTTTTCAGTAAGGTCAAGGTATAGTTGATTACAGAATATGCTAAGTTCTGTCAACAGGGGACTTCTGAAGTCTGAACCCATCTCCAGTGACTCCGTACTTCTGTTACAATAGCTTCAATATACTTTTTTTTTAATTGGTTCCACTGTGAGTGTATCCTTTCTTTCCTGTCTTCTTCCTCTGAGTCACCTAACTGGGTTTGGCAAAAGGGTTAGCTAGCAAGACTGTGAACGGTCTGAACTGTGGAGGAGCTGGTGAGGAGCCTGCCAGTTGGCCAACGTACGTGCTTGTTGGAAACCATACAGGGCAAGTGACTTTGAGCCTGTCCTGTGGGCCTTCCCTCCGGGGGGGGTGTGGGTTTGTTTCTGTAACTCGTATCTGGCTTTTCACAAAAAGTCAGGTTTTAGTACGCAGTGGTTTTCAGTCCTAATGTCTGTCTGTGGTCCCTGTTATGGGGAAGCACCTGGTCTGGCCCTGGGGAGCAACTGTGGTGCAGCTGAATGAGGCTGGAAACAGAACTGGCTGTTAGGTTTTGCTCATTGAAGAAACTTTAGATAGTCCTTGCTTTTCCTGCAAAGCGGTGGATTAATTTGGTCATTGGGATGCGGTAATGAACAGCTGCAACAAGCTTATGCAAATTTATGTGAAATTAGAGGACTGGCGTATCAGGCAAGGGATCAGGGCAACTTCTTATTATTAAATTGACATTGAAATAGCTTATGAAGGTGCTGGATAAATTTTGCAGCAAAAGGAAAAGAAAGTAACTGTTGCACTGTTAGCGCAGCCTGTGCTGTGGGTTATGTGAATGCGGTTGAAAAAAAAAAAGGCATTTAAAAACACTTGACACTTTTGGTGGTAAAGAAAGTGGGTGAATGACCAGAAACTTGAAGGTGGGTGGGTGGGAAATGGTTGCAGTGTACGTGAATGAAAGGTCTTTGGTTATTTCTCTTTAACTTGTTTGATCTAGTTGAATTAAGCCATGGCTTGCTATTACAGTCAGAGGGTAGAACTGCTCTGTCATGGTGTGTGTGGGTTAATCTTTATCCGTGTTCTTGAAAGAGAAATGGGAATAGCTAACACTGGAAATCACCTGGCTTATTCGGAAATGTACTTCTGGGAAAATAGGTTTTGTATACACCAGGGAAATGACTTTCTTCAAACCCAAGGCTTTCAGGGAAGCAGTGGGTGTGGGGTGGTGGTGTTTCTTTAGCCACTGGGAGTTTAAGCATATGGAGATCTGTTGCCCTCAAGCGCTGTCTCTGTTACATGTTGTGGCTCTGATTTGTCATTTTTAACGCACCTCAGCTGGCAGTAGAAGCAGTGAAAACTGTTTTATAGATGTAGCTTAAGGATTTTAAAGATGAAGTTGATGAGCTGCTGGCATTGAGGAATAGGTGTAACCAGGGCCAGGCCATTCATGAGGGCCCAGAAGGATGCTGGTGTGCTTGGTGGATGGACTGAAAGATGAGAGTAGTGGTTATGGGTAGCTACTCGCCGTGGGAGTTGCTGAGGATCAGCTTGTGTGTGGCTACTTCTGGTTTTGGCTGCCTGGTGCCCAGATGGCTTCGCTGGGCACAGGGCTGGTGGTCACAGAGGGAGGATGCTGTGCTGAACATGGCTCCTGCATGGCTTTACCAAGAGCGTTGCGTCGATAAGTCTCGCTGCCGTTGTGCGTCTTGTCTGTTTTATTTTCTGTAAGTGCGATGCCTGACTTTCTCTTTTTTTCCCTTCCCTTCCGTAGGCTGCCCTCAGGAGAGGCAGTGGGAGGCAGTGGAGCTGGCCTCGGCACCGGGAGAGGCTGGACTTCCCGTCTCTCTGTGCTGAATGGCTGCGATGGCGCCCGCTCTCACTGACGCAGCAGCTGAAGCTCACCACATCCGATTCAAGCTGGCTCCCCCGTCCTCCACCTTGTCGCCTGGCAGTGCCGAGAGCAACGGCAACGCCAACAACATCCTCCTGGCTGCCAACGGCACCAAAAGGAAAGCCATTGCTCCGGAGGATCCCAGTTTAGATTTCCGAAACAACCCTACGAAGGAAGAGCTGGGCAAGCTGCAGCCGCTAGTGGCCTCTTATCTCTGCTCGGATGTAACATCTGTTTCTTCAAAAGAGCCTCTGAAGCTGCAAGGAGTCTTCAACAAGCAGACAGTCCTTAAATCTCACTCTCTCTTATCTCAGTCCTTCTTGAAAACAAGTGATCTGTTGGGGAGGCAACCTGTGTTGGAATTCACTTTGGAGAATCTAAAAACAATGAGTACTAATAGCCAGCCACCTCTCCCTCAAGCGCCTGTAAATGGCTTGGCCAAGAAATTGGCCAAAAGTACCAATTCAGACCATGAAAACTCTAGTTCTCTGAACGGTGGGAAGTGTGCTCCTCCTTCTGTTGCCCTCCAGGGTGTTGACTATAATGCAGGAGGCTCTGAATTGGGGGACTTGAAGACCGGCTTGACCAATTGCACTCTTCCACATAGAAGCCTTGATGCAGAGCACACAACTCCATTTAGCAATAATAGCACTGCAAACAAATCTTCCCTTAATTCCACGGAGCAGCAACGGGTGCTTGAGGGTGGCAGTGGAGAGACTAGGTTGCCCGGTGTTGCTAGTCACTCTGACTTTGGGAGCAGTAAGTTGGAGGAGCAGAAACCTTCTCTGTCGGCCGGTCACCACAGTGCTCTCGACTCCGAGATGAGGACGAGGGCGTTGCTGCGACGGCAGGCAGACATTGAGAACCGTGCCCGCAGGCTGCAGAAACGCTTGCAGGTGGTGCAGGCAAAGCAGGTGGAGAGACACATCCAGCAGCAGTTGGGTGGCTTCTTGGAGAAAACTCTGAGCAAGCTTCCAACTTTGGACCCCCTGAGGCATCGGAGCCAGCTGATGTTGACCAGAAAAGCAGAAGCAGCCTTGAGGAAAGCTGCGAGTGAGACAGTTACTTCAGAAGGCCTAAGCAGCTTCTTGAAGAGCGATTCAATATCGGAAGAACTGGAGAGATTCACGGCCAGTGGTATGGCCAACTTGAGATCCAGTGAACAAGCGTTTGACTCGGATGTCACTGACAGCAGCTCGGGAGGAGAGTCTGACGTTGAAGAAGAGGAACTGACCAAAGCAGACCCGGAACAACCCCACGTACCGCTGTAAGTAGCAGCCATGCTTTGCTTACCTCTTGTGAGGGGAGAGCGAGGTGAAAGGTGGCAGATGGAAGATCTGGTTTTTGTAGGAACACTTCTTTTTCTGATGGGCCTAGATCAAAGAAGTAACGGTTAAAACTGGCGTGGTGTGATTTGCAGCACAATTCCTGGGTCAGGCAGCCCGTGCAGCGTTGAAGGTAAAATTCTTCATGCATATGGTAGTTGTTGGTGTTGTGGAGCAGCAAGTCCTGGAAATGCTGGCTGGAGTGGTGCAAGCATGGTGCAGATACAAACCCGAAATACTATAAACAGTTCTTGCCGTGATTGTTGGACCTGTCCCCTGAAATGAAATGTTTGTCTTTTTACAATGGGAATCTTTGTTGTAAACCAGTTATGTACAGTAAGGCCCATCTGAGTCTTTGTAGCTGACAGCATACTTGTGACTGGGGAGTTATTTTTTTTTGTTAAACTACCTGAAAAAAAACCCACTTCTGAAAGGATCTGGTCCAAGTGCCAGTGGAAGTGTGAAGTGAGTGTGTTCTATTCTTGAATCTGGGAAATTATTGTTGGGAATTTTCTTCTCGTCTGTTGAGTTGCATTAAATGATGACAACAGCCTCATAATTATGTTGTTAACTGGATGCTGTTTGCATAAGTATTATGTGTCTGTGTGCGGAGGATGAAGATCCTTGACAAGGCAAAAGGTCTTGAGACAGGTCAAGGAAGAAGGGAAACTTTTCTTCCAAACCCAACAATTTTCCCTAGGACTGCATATCGCAGTGTTTTGCACAAATCTCTTAAAAGGACGTATTCTGCGTCTACTCTGTGTAAAATGTCGCTTGCATCAGTAGCTGATCTCTTTCACCTTGGTGGATGTGTTAAACTTAAACCTCAGTCTGTGAAGTACAGCTACAGTCGACAAAAAGCTCCCTGCAGCAGTCACAGGGGTCCTGTTGGGAATGCGGACGGCTTTCCGATCAAGGCTGGAAATAGTCACCAGGACTTTTGCATACCTGCGCTATGCAGGGTTTGTTCAGGTCTCTGGAGAAATAACTGAATGTGTTTTGATACCTCTTGTCCTAAGTGATGTTGCTGGCTGGTCGGGTGCTGTGTGACACAGATTTTACTGAACTTAAGTAGGTGGATGTGAACAGTGTGTGTGCTTGGTAGCTTGAGCATCCCCCAAAACCACACTCATATGGATGAGTGCTGGTAAAGAGATCTTACAGCTCTTGAATATTAAATTCCAGCTAAATGTCACATTGTGTTTTGGGATGTTAGCGTAGTATGAATTTCTGTATGTGAAGTCTTAAACGTGGCATGAGTTCGGCTTTCTCCCAGTGCAAAGCTAGTAGCTGAGCATGTGATCCCTGCTGGCTGGACATGAAGGCGTTCTTGTGCTGTTAGAAAAGAGAGTTTAATAACTTTGTTCCTGTTTTATAATGTCCACAAACTTACTGTTGGGATTAGTGGTAAAATTGCATTTATAAGTATTGTAATAGTTATTAGAGGAGACATTTGATTAAAATTCTGTCCAAAGGAATAGTAAATTTCCCATATTGTGGGTTTCATAGATTCTGTGTGTTGTCTAGTGAAGTGAAATTTCTTTACCACTCATCTTAATCCTTAGAGGAAGTGCGGCATTCAGAGACACGATGCGTGAAATTCTTTGCTGACTTTTCTGCCCTTTGGTGTTAGTCATGCCTTTACATTCCCCAACCTCCCGAGTACTCTTAAAAAGCCAAAGATTTTAGAGCTAATAAAAAGAATGAGCCTTCTATTGTCTGTAGGTTCAGAAGCTGGTATATATGCATACTGGCATCTAGGCCAGGCCCACCAAACCTCGTTTAAAGTTTATGCCTGTGGGTATTTAGTAATTAGTCTTCCCAGCATTGACTGTCCTGTTGGCGTGAGTGCTTTGACATTGGGTCTCACGAGCTCTGGCGTTGCCGGAGTTGAGGCTGAATGCACGTTTGTGCTTGTTAACAAAACTCCTGAAGCCAGCGTTAAGAGCTGGTACGAGCATCTGAGTACATCTAAATATCATTCTTTCCCAAGTGGTGCCAACAGTCAGGAAGGGGAAGAGCTGAATTTTCCACTGGGAAGCTGCCTTGGGCCAGCTTATTGTACAGACCCATTGTTTGACGCTTGTGTGAGCACAGAACAGCCAAGGCTTTTTACAGGGTTGCTCAAGTATGGCTGGATTTTGCAGTTTACTGAATTTACTTATTAGAAGGAAGACTTTTACCCTGATTATTTTAATTTTGGTAGTGAGATGGAATATCTTAATGAGTGTAAAAACTTCTGTCTCGTCCCTCAGTCAGCATCCCTTGGCTATGTTTTGCTCCTGGGTGTCCTTGCCTTCCCCCAAGAAACTTCTTGCTTGCTTCTAGATCTTTAGTGAGAGTTATGCTACAAACGGTGTGTCTCGTAGCTTGCTTGCAGTAAGTGGCCATGTCACTGACTGCCTCTGGGATTCAAGTAGAAGCATGCAAAAGAAACAAAGACATGTTTACATCATGCTTAGATAAGAGCTGACCTTTGAGTTTTTCTGGCGTGGTGGCATTCCAGAATCGGTATCTGGTCAAGGACAGGCTTCGAAGCATTTGTACTCTTCTGGCCCGCCTGATCTTGGCTATAGAGCAGCATCTCCATGAGGAATTACGCCTTTCCAGTAGCGTTTAGGGATCTATCACAACTTGGTGTAGGTCCTTTTAAAGCACTCGTAGGCCTGCTGCCCAGGAAGGTGCTGTCATTCAGGTGCATAACCAGGCCATCGTGTAATGCATAAACAAAGCAGGGAGGTATTCGTTACACCTTTGTCGGGAAGCCGTGCCAGCTGTGGGCTTGGTTTAACAAGGTGCTCTTGGTTCTCATGCGGCTGATGGGGAAAGAAAGCGCATGCAGAGGGGGTTGGTTCCTGGTGCGTTCTTAGGTTTACGTGGATCGAGGACCACCCTGTTGCCTTGCGTTTGCTCTCAGGTTAATAATGCACGACTTCGCTTCACAGCTAAGATGTTAGGTGTCACTTCAAAAGTGTGTGCGGTGGTAGAGTTAGGATCAAGAGAAGAGAAGCTTTGCCTCTGCTTGGTGGTGACGAAGGCAAGTTGGAGCCTCCCCTGTGGAGAATCGTACTGAACTTCTTGGGCTGGGTGTGACCGTAGGCAGCAGCCGTCTGCGTCTGCGAAACCTGTGCTACTTTGAAAGGGCCCAATTGCTGTTGTCAGCGTGGTAGGATCAGGAACTGCTGTTTGTGAAAGGTCTCTTGGAGCAGGGCATGCAAATTCCTCCCCGTGCTGGAGGGCTGCTGGCTGGGCTCTGGCTTAGGTGGCCAAGGGATGGTTTAGCGAGTAATCAAAAGTCCTGGTGGTTCTGTGGTCCTGTGCTAGTACATGTAAGTAGGAAATAACTCATGTGGCTTGTGCATCTTTATAGTATTTGCTTTTCTTAGGCTGGTTGGTTTCTTTGGTTGTCTTGCATTTGACTGTAGACTAGTTTCATCAGAATTTGTCAATTATTTTTGGCTGATTAGTTACCTATGTGGAGCAGCAACGTAGTCATTAGCTGGTGAGTGGTGTGTGATTTAGTCTCTGCAATCCCCGACTTCAGGCTGTACCATGGAAAAAAAAAATTTGAAAAGGTAGTGAAGACAAGTATTTAGTTGGAACTTACTTTTTAGTTCAGTTTTCTTATCTGGAAAGTCACTGTTTTGATGGCAGTTACATCTAGCTGCTGAGAATGAGCTGAGGTTCCTAGTGACTTGAGGGTCAGGCAGTACCTACTGTGTGTTCGGTTGTGGTTGTTACGTTGCCTGTGGCCATGATGCCTAAGCACACTTCAATTATCCCCATTTACTGGTGGGAAATCCAAGCACCTTCTGCTCTTCATTGTTGCAGTGAGTCATTTCACAGCCTTGGAGCCTGTGTGTTGACTCCTCCCTGTGCTGTGTCACATCGTGCTGCCTGGATTTTAGAATTGCTGGACTTGGAGTAGTAATGAAGATTTCTTGCTAAGAAGTGCTTTTGTCAGCACTAATTTCAAAGTCCTGTATTGGAGAGGGATGTGTGTGGCACTTGGATCAGTGCTTATTCGAGGGGTAGTTGCAGTTGGTGCATCAGTTGACTGAGAAACAGGATTTAGAGATTCTGATTTTTCTCCCTTGATTGTGTTTTGTCAAGAGAAAGCATAAGGAAGCCTGTATCTCAAGGGCTATTAAATAGCTCCATGAAGTCACAAATTTGAGAAATGCTGTAATTCAGATGGCAAATCCTGTGCTGTGGGAACTAAGGAAGCTTTTCCTACTGGTCACAAACACGTTCCACTAACTGATTTATGCAGAGCAATCCTAAAAGTTTGTCTGTTCTCTTTAGGACTTTTTCAGTTACCTGCTTGGCTTTTTGTAGGTTTGTTTTTTTTTTTTTTTCTTGACTTCTAGCTGTGCTTGTAGGTATTGACAGCAGCACAGTGTTTAACCTTCTATTTTTCAGCTCTTTATGAAAATTTGCGTACCTTGTACCCGAATTGCTTGTAATCCATGTACTGCTCGGTGGCAATATATTGGTCAAGAGAGGTGTCCCTCGTCTCTCAGTTGTGAAGAGAGAGAGAGAGAAATCCTGAACATGTTCTTGCTTTGCATTTGAAAGCAGAATAGCAGAGAGTGGTTCATTGTTCAAAAATGCTTAATCAGGTATCCAGAGTAAGTAGGACACTCTGCGAGTCCCTCTTGCTTTTAAGAAGAGAGAGCAAATGAGAACACTGCTTGAGAAAGATCTTAAGAAAAATGAGTCAGTTCTCAAAAATGTTGGTCATAGTACACCTTTTACAGATACAGTGGATGTTGAATAAGTTGTTTCTGACTTTTACTGGAGTCTTGATCCTCCTGCAGACCTCACTGGAGTGGGGAAGGGAGGTTTGGTGTTTTCGGTGTAGGTACTCGGTTGCCATCCACAGAAGTGTTAAGGCGGCGTTGTTGGCTTTCATCCTAGAGGGAGTTTGATGCACTGCTTT